TATATATATTTTATTTATAAGTAAAACTAATTTATATGAATATATCATATTTTTAGAAAATAAGATAATGCTTGTGAATTATGTTGTTATCTATCTATACAATTATTTAAGAAGTAAATTTGCTTAGTTGTCATGTTCTCCATAAGTTTAGGTCATTTGTTTGTTTATCATATTTTTAATATTTATATATAATTTATTTATGAAGAAAACGAATTTATATAAATATATCATATTTTTAGAAAATAAGATAATGCTTGTGAATTATGTTGTTATCTTGAAATATATTTTCTATGGAAAACTTAAATTTTAAATTAAGATATAAAAATTATTATATTTATTATATAATTAAAAGAATTTATATTAATAATTTTATATTTTTCAAAAATAAGATAATTCTTATGTATTATGTTTTTATGTTGAAAATATATTTTCGTATTAAAAAAACTTAAAATTAAGATATAAAAATTATATTATTAATAATTAAATATAAATCATCAAAAAAATTATTTGAAAAGTGAATTTGTTGATTTGTCTCGATAACCCTAGGTAATTTTGATCATTTATCAGAATTTTCCTAATTTTGTTTATTATTGACTATATAATTAAAACTAATTTATATTAATAATATGTTATTTTAGAAAATAATTTGATTCTTATGTATTACCATGTTATCTTGAAAGTATATTTTTCTATTATAAATTTTAAAATTAACATGTAAAAAATCTATACTAATATTTAAGAAGTGAATTTAATGTTTGTCAATTTGTCATATTTTCCATAATTGTAGCTAATTTTGATAATTTATCATTATTTCCGTAATATTATATATGATTTATTATATATTTAAAACAAATTTATATTAATAGTATTAGATTTTTAGAAAATAAGATACTTCTTACGTATTATGTTGTTATATTGAAAATATATTTTTATTTTATATAATTTAAAAGTAAAATAGAAAATTATCTATTATTAATTAAATATAAATCATCACTCAAGAAAAATTATTTAAGAAGTGAATTTGCTGATTCATTAAGTTCTCCATGATTTTAGGTAATTTTAATTATTTGTCATAATTTCTATAATCTTATATAATTATTATATAATTAAAACATATTTATCATATTATATTTTTAGAAAATAAATAACTTATGCAATATATTGTTATCTTGAAAATGTGTTTTCTATTATAAAATTTAAAATTAAGATATCAAAAATTATAATTATAAAGTAATTTGTATAAATATTATAATTAAATATAAATCAAGCAAAATAATTATAGAAATGTATTCTTTTAAATATTTATGATGTTTGAGTTTTGTCATTGATAATTATTTGATGTTTGATTTGTACTTTTTGAAAACATAAATATAACTTATTATGCTGGTTTTTAAATTAATAAACTATCAACTAATAAATATTCATAAGAGAATTATACCCGTAAGTACAGGCAAAAGACCTAGTAAAAAGAAAAGTAATCAATGTATTTTTCACTCTGGATTCTTCCACTTCGTTGGGCTTCTTTCCTGAACAAACACCAACTCAAGGACTGCCCCCTCTCTCTTGCGGAAGGTAGTCACCAACTCTACACTATACCATACATGGCGCCAGAGAAACAACCTTCTACAAAATCACTTGCACATCCCAGCAAGCACTCTCTTCATGTTGATTGATAGAAACATCCGAAAGACCCTCTTAAGAAGAAGATTCAAGAGGAAATTCACACTGCTCCTGTTCAAATGGCTGATGTAATCTGATTCTCTAGTGTAGGATTCTCTAGTGGAATGCTTTTGTATTGTTTCTTTGTTTTGTTTTTTTTTTTTGCCTGGAAACTCTAGTGTAGGATTTTCCAAATTTATAGGATCCTTTATTTAAAAAAGCCAATAGTTAATATATTTTATATAGTCAATTTATTGAGTTGGTTTTGTATCCCATTAAAACAATTGACCAAAACCGTTAAAGGTTTAGCCATTTTAATTAAACATCAAATCAAATATTTTATTTGTTTCAATAAGGTGTATGTTTTAGAAATTTTATGCATATTAAGAAAATCTATGATTTTTTAATTACCAATACATTATTTTTTGTAATTTTTATTCCCAATAACTTTTAACCAATGAGATTTAAATAAATGTTTTGAAATTTACAATTTAATATTAACTAATGCATTGAAAATGTAAAATATATATCTTTTTAAACAATTTTTTTCTAAAATATAGATTAAATTGAAATGGAGGGAGTAAAAAAATTGAAACCAAATTTTTCTCAAATATTAACCGTTCGAAATTTTTGTAAAAAAAATGAATGATTATTTGAAAAAATAAAAATATTTAAAAATTACGAGACTCTTTTGGAACAAAATCTTGAAAGATGGGTTCCACAAGATCTGACGGTGGAGATCACAGCTCACTGCCTACGTGGACAGCTCAGAGGGGGATGGATGGGACCCGATGGTGCAAAACCAATCATGTGACACGGTCATGACACGGACGCAATAACGGACGGAGAAGTGGGGACCGCAGGAGGCAGGTATGTCGTGGGGCTTAATTGTTTTGTAAATGGTTCGCTGTAACGGAGACCACCCCTCCCTCTTCCTCTCTCCCCCACGTTCTTCAGCAGTGTGCTTTTTATAATCTCAATCATTTGATTCTTCTGTTGTCCATTGACCATTCTATCCTTTCATCACTCGTTGACTGTTTTATTGACTTTTCTCTGTTTGTTTTTTTGAAAAATACTTTTCTCTGTTAATCTTGTTGGGGAAAAAGGTCTATTCCTATCCGAACAATTTTAATCGTGCCAAAAATAACCCGAATAAATTTTCAGTACCAAATACGACATGAACTACGTTATAATGCAAAAATACTATCTGAACTTTTTAAAACGTGCCTAAGCCTACATTGACCGTAACAGAAGTTAGTCAACCGTTAAAATGATAAACCGACGTCGGAAAAAGGGCTTATTCCTACCCAAAAAATTTCATTCGTGCCAAATACAACCCGAACAAACATCCAGTGCCAAATACGATCTGAACTACGTTATAATGCAAAAATACTACCTGAACTTTTTGAAACGTGCCTAAACCTACATTGATCGTAATAGAAGTTAGTCAACCGTTAAAATGATAAAACGACGTCGTTTTGATTCTATTATTAAAATGAACATTCCGGGACTCGAACCCGGGTTTTATCACTATTTAAAACATACACATCAACCACTAGACTAAAGCAATTTTTTAAAAAATATTACCAATTTACAATTATATATGCTAATATACTTTTTAATCTTCTCTAATTAAAACTTTTGTTATTATTATTTTCGATTCTTATAAATATATTAACATATCTTGTAATTATTATATCTTCAATAAACTTATATTATACTAAAATATAAATAATAAAATATTTATAATCATACAAAATTAAATATATTTCCTGTTTTTCAACTATTTACAAAATGTCCATATATAAATTATTTTAAAAATAAAACTTAATGGTAATTTATTTTATTTTGGTAAAGTATATTCAGCTTAAATTAATTTTAAGAAAAAACAGAAATTAGTATTTATAAGTTTATTAAATATGTTAATATATTAATAAGAATCAAAATAAAAATAAGCAAAGTTTTAATTAGAGAAGAGGAAAAAGTATAAAAGCATATATATAATTGCAAATTTGTAGTACTATTTAAAAACATTGCTTTAGTCTAGTGATTGATATCTCTGTTTTAAATGGTGTCAAGGCCCGTGTTCGAATCCCAGAATATTCATATTTTTAAAAAAATAATGAAATCGAAACGACATCGTTTTATAATTTTAACGGTTGACTAACTTCTGTTACGGTCAATGTAGGTTTAGGCACGTTTTAAAAAGTTCAGGTAGTATTTTTGAATTATAACGTAGTTCAGGTCGTATTTGGCACTGGATGTTTGTTCGGGTTGTATTTGGCACGATTGAATTTGTTTGGGTAGGAATAGACCCGACGTCGTTTTATCATTTTAACGGTTGACTAACTTCTGTTACGGTCAATGTAGGTGTAGGCACGTTTTAAAAAGTTCAGGTAGTATTTCTGAATTATAACATAGTTCAGGTTGTATTTGACACTGAATATTTGTTCGAGTTGTATTTGACACGATTAAAATTGTTTGGGTAGGAATAGGTCCTTTTCCCATCTTGTTGATTGCAAACTTGCAACGGTCCAACGGATATGGAGCACTCACTATTCGTTAGGGTATATGTAAGATGACCAAGATTCGAACTAAACACAAACCAAAATATCCATATCTGATTTAAACATTAAAAATCTTATTTAAAAGATGATATTTCAGATATTAAATATTATTTACATCCAACTTGAATTCATTTTCGAAAGGATTTGAAAAAACCAGTTCACTAAAAGCAAAACAAAAATTTTAAACACCTCGATCTATAAATTTGAATTAAAATATAAAATAAAACTTCAAAATTTGATATTTTACAAAAAAAAGTTTATTTTTATTCTATTTTGATCATAAAAATAATAAATCTAAAATATCTTATTAGTCGAACTCGATAAATTTATTCTTAAATGAGTTGTATATAAACTTATAAAATCTATATACACTAAAAATAACATTTATCAAATTATATAGATATAACTCAAATAGAGCTTACGAAACTCTAAAAATATCAAAAATATTATTTAAATTGAGTATATGAACTTATTATTAAATCTATATGCTACATCATATGAAACAACTAATTAGCTGTCTTATAACAAATTTTAAAAATTAATTAATATTCTAAAAATTAACTAATATTCTGGAAGAGTCTCAAAAAGGTCAAAAGACAAGTGGGGGGGGGGTGTTTCAGTCATTTAGTCATCGTCTTGTCTATCCTTTTTTGACGTTCATTCCCACGCAAGCAAGATACAAGACTCGCTCTTCCTTCTCTCTTTCTTTTCGTCAGTGTCTTTCAAGAAAAAGTATATACCCTTTCTTAATCGTCCAACGAGGTTAATAACATCTGGACCTTTTGCTTTCATTCACTTTTGTCTCAGGAACTTGTATGATTTGATTGATTTCTTCATGTTCTTGTTTCTGATTTCAATTTTCGACTTGTGGGTTTGTTTTTAGTTTTGTCTTAATCTAGGAACAGGCTTTCTGGTTTTGTCTTTTTTGTCAATACAAAGATAGTTTTTTTTTTTTTGTTGTTTTAATCATAGTTAAGCGTTTTGGTTAGAATACTGGAAGTAGTGTTAGATTTTACTGGTTAAACTTGGAATTGGTAATTTTTGCTTTAACCAGTTATCAAATTCAGACAAACAAATTAAAGGTAGTGTTTGCTGACATTACGCATCGTTATGTTTCAAATGTTCAGTTCCTTTTTACATCAGATGGAACAATGGGTGGCTCCTTAAAGATAAAAAAATCCGTCTTTAGTGGAGATTTGTAATCTAAGCTGAGTTATCTTTAATCATCATCTTTGTTGGTGGAATGGCGTCCGAGGATGTGAGTGTTGATGTTGACAATTCCAAGGACAAGAACAGACCTGAGACACTTGACTTATCTACCGAGGAAACTAATAACGTCAATGATAATGCTCCTGTAAAGGTATTAATCTTTCTTACAAGACTCTTTCTTTGAACCCTTTTTTTTTTTGGTTAATGACATCAATCTTTCTGTTGTCATAATTCTCTGCAGGAAATAGACCTCCCTGAGACTGTGAAGAGTAAACCAGCTAATAATAATAAGGCTGTCAAGAAAAAGTCAGGGACCTTCTCTCGTAGCCCTAGGTTCCTTTCTCAGAGCTCTTTATTCCCTACTAGAAAGAGCATTGATGCAACACCAAAGGCTAGTCTTAAACCCATTGTTGCAAGTGGATCCAAACCAAAGGCCACTCCATCTTCAAACAATAGTGTTGCTGCCAAGCGCAACAGTTTAGTATCTGCGCCCATCAAAAAGCAAACTATGGTAACTACTGAATCATCTTATAAGAATAACGCAATACATCTTTGTTAGTCCTATTTGTTTAATTTATCGGATTTCTTCTGTGCTGTTTTAGCCTGTGAAACCTATTTCTAAGGATGCAGATCCTGTCCCTACTTCCAAGTGAGTATAAAATGTTAAAAATAAGTTTATATAAGTGAAGATCTGAATAGTCAGCTAAAGTGTTTGCCGGCACCAAATGCAGATTGGTGGTAGATGAAGGTTCTAAATCTACTAAAGATGAAGTTGAAGTTGCAGACAAGAACAATGAGGAGGCCCCATTAACCACGGCTGTGTAAGCTCTCTTTGTTTATAATGTTTTGGCTCATATACACTCCATTAAAAGGAGTTTCATCTTTGATCTCACAGGGTGGCAGATAAAGTATCTAAACCTATAGCAAGCAAAGAAGACGAGGACACCCGTTCAACTACCACTTCGTATGCCAGTTTCTTTCTTTCATCTTCTTCCTAATGTTCATTACTGACGCATGTCTCTCTCTATATATAATGTTTTGATGTTTAACAGAACTTCTACACCTCGTGGCCGTAGAAGCAGCGTTGGGTCTGCCTCTGGATTTTCATTCAGGTTGGAGGAAAGGGCTGAGAAACGGAAGGAGGTTACTTACTGCTGCTGATGCACTTTCTCTATGCGTGCAACCTTTTCAACAGCATGTCTTTTTAGTTTTCTCTCAACTTGTGCCTCTTTTTTCAGTTCTATATGAAACTAGAAGAAAAGATCCATGCTAAGGAAGTGGAGAAGACAACTTTGCAGGCGAAGTCAAAGGTTTTTCTTTAAGATTATTCTATAATAGAGTAAAACTCTTTATTCTTCTGACATCTTCTATAATTGACAAAAACTCTTATTGGTATTTTTTGTTTAGGAGAGTCAGGAAGAAGAGATCAAAAGATTGAGGAAGAGCTTGACGTTTAAGGCTGGTCCTATGCCTAGTTTCTACAAAGAGCCTCCACCTAAGGTTGAATTGAAGAAGGTTTGCTTCTTTGCTCTTCCTATGTGATTCATTACTTGTCCTAAATGGTTGTTATATCGACTGTGTGGTTTACACAAAACCGTTGCAGATACCAACTACTCGTCCTAAATCTCCAAAGCTAGGACGTAGAAAGAGTAGTAGTGATGCAACAGGAGGTGAAACTGGTCCTCGTGTGACAAAACCAAAAGACTTATCATTATCATCTACCTTTAAGAAACCCATAGCAAAGTCTCAGTCAAAACCTGTGACTCAGGAAAAGTCAGGGAAGTTTGAAGAGAAGAAGAAAGAAGCAGAGAAAAGCAGAGATGGAGAGAAGGCTTCATCTGTGGCTGCTAAACCCGAAGAGAAGAAAGGAGCAGAGAAAAGAGAGGAGGAAGAGAAGGCTTCTTTCGTGGCTACTAAACCCGAAGATATGGAACCAAACTCGAACAGCATCCATGTAAAGGCTGAGATTATGGCAAGTGAAGTTGCAGTGGGAGGCTGATAAAAGCAGAGAGAGCGTTTGGGACGACTTGGCATTGATCTCTTATCTCTACTTCTTTTTCAAAAGCATTAATGTGAATAGAGTTGTTGTTGCATTGTGTCTACTTTGGGAGTTACTCCACTTCTTCAGCTTTGTTTTGGAAAAACTAAGCCTCAGATTGTTTCTTAAGTTATAGTCTTTAATATATGCTTGATTCAAAGTGTAATATGTTTTTGAGGATGGGATGTGTGAATTTTTGAAGAGTGAAAACAGTAGTGAGTTGTTGTGCAAATGTTAAATATCAAAGGAAGCTTGTGGGGCCTTTATCTACAGCTAAACTTATCCTCGTGTGTATTCTCTATTTGCAACATGTTTGTGGTCGGATATATTGTACTTGAAAACTAGTTTGGGCATTGGTTGTGTTATCGTTTATTATATACAATTTCGATTGATTGTTTTTTTGACCTAACTACAACTTTCTTTAACCAAATAGAATTATATGATTTTGATCAGATTAAACCACACATACAATGAAATGATCTAATATCACTTTAGAACACATAAATGGATCATATGCTATTCGTATCAATATCTACATAGAATAAGCTGCTTCTTAAACCTGACCTAAGTTGACCAAAATGAGACGACAATTTTGAGAGATCGATTTAGACAAAATTAAGACCAAATTACAACTCAACTCATGACATTGGACACCTAAAAATTTGAATGATAATCATGTCCCAACATCTCGTCATCTAGCAACGCAAATCTGGTGAAAACCCGTCAAAGTTAAACCGGGAATAACCTAAACTGAAAGATGGGCCTTGGCGACCAAGTTGTGACCAGATCATTGACTAAGGTTATCAATGGTGTGAAGTTTCACCGCAGAACGAAACAGGAGATGTCATGTCACCGTCGTCGATACTAGGATATGAACCCCCACCGCATATCCACTGCAGAGCTCGTCCTCCAGTAGATCCTCCGGTGAAGCAAAACCCTACGACACGTCTTCAGCGGGAACCGAAGACAAGAACCATCTTCACCAGCCATTGCACCATACCTCCATTTGACACATTAGCCATGTTTGTTTCTTTAATGCCGCATCAGAGCGACCAAAAATTAACAAACAAGATGGAGAAAGTTAATTGCAGCATCGTTATAAAGTTGTCGCCGTTTTATACTAATATTAAAATTTGCGGCTCCCATATATGTGTTGATCTGTCGCTAACGTCATATACTAATATTTTTTAACTCCTCTGTTTTAACTTGTTACTTACCTGGCATTTTATATTTTTTTTTATAATTTCTGATCCCTCAACGCTGACAATGCATCTCGAAAAAGAACAGTGCCACTACTGTCACACCAAACCGTAGATCCTGAGTAGAAGAGGTTTTTCAGTGAGTCACGCGCCGCCGCTGTGAGTGGAGCGCAAGAGATCTAAAACAGAAAACCGACCCCTCGGCTCCTCTCATCCCTAAAAGCCGACCAGCCTTGCTTGCTCCTTCCTACGGTCCACTTCTCCTCCAAAGACGACGTGAGATGACACCTATGACCACGCAAGTCTCCAGAGTTATTCTGATAAACCAGAATAACACGCATCTCACCGAAGGGTTGGGTCAGAATAGAGAAGACAAAGAGAAAAGAGAGATTAAGGGTTAAGAGAGGATCCTCTGGCACCAGACGGACCGTTGCGAGGGATAGAAGTTTCAGACGCTTTGGTTTCTAGAAAGAGGAAAAAGTTTGTTGTATATACCATATCAGTTGATAGACCCGACTAAAACAATAGTTATATGTGATGAATTTAAATGTTTCTAAATTCGTATAAATCTGAAAACTATATCTCTAATTACAGGTACTATATATGTCAATTTAACAAATTAAAACCTTTAATTTCTAACTAAGGTTACGGTGTACGCATATGGTCAAAACCGATACTAAAGTCTTATCTACTCATATCAGTTCAGGGAGAAACACATAACTGATTGTCACACAATGTGACATGAGTTTTAAATGTTTTTCGACTAACAATCGGATTGCCTATTACCAGGAAACATTTACTTTGAAAGACACAATTTAACTTTCCAATATCATTAAAAGACACTTCATGTTTGTAACACACATTTGTTAGATTGATTGTCTATTATACCCTTACAAACAAGATTCTCTTTTTCTTTCTTGTTACTCTCTTTATCTCGTTATTCTCTCTCTCTCTCTCTTAATCAAACTTTCCCCAATTTTCAGAAACCACAAATTCTAATCCTACTCAAGACACATTCTTTCTCATTGATGAAAATCTGCAAACCTAAACCACCAAAATATCATTGTTCTATCTCTTCGATTTGAAATCTTTCCTAATCCTCTTTCTCCCTTTTGATATCTTCTCCATGGTTCAGTTTTGTGAAAGCGATGGTGGCGGAGACCGTGATGAAGGTAGTGGTGGATACCATAGTTTGTAAACGGTGGTGACCATGAACAAGGCGGTGGAGACTATAAACGATGCCCAGTCCCATTGAACTGGTGAAGATGGACATCGTGGTGAGGGTGACGGTAGATACTATAGTGGAGGAGGTGGTGATTATGGAGATAACGGTGGTCGAAGGTGATAATGGAGGTGGAAGGGATAGTGGAGGAAGTGGTGGATACTGGAGGCGTGGTAATTATGGAGGTGGATGTAGTTGATACAAAGGTGATAATGGAGGTGGAGGAGATGTGGAGGCGGTGGTGGTTATAGAGGTGACGGTGGCTTTCTTGGTCATCGGATATGTGGTTGTTATTGATGTGGTCGAAAGAATTGTGGATGGGGATTTGTGGTCAGTTGTTGTGTGGATGCCATTGATGGGTCACTCGATGGTGAAAACGGATGAGACTGAAGGTGGTAATTGAAACATAGCTGGTAACTGAAACGAAGGTAGTAACAAAGTTGGAGATAGTGGTGGGTACTAGAGGCGTGGTGGTTATGAAGGTGGATGTAAAGGTGATAATGGAGGAGATAGTAGAGGCGGTGGTGGTTATGGAGGTGCCACCTTGGTCATTAGGTGTATGGATATTATTGATGTGGTCGGAAGAATTGTGGATGAGAGTCTCATGGTCAGTGGTTATATTGATGTTGTTGATGGATCTCTTCATGGTGAAAATGGAAGAGATAGTGGAGGTGGTGATTGAAACATAACTGGCATAATTCAAACGAAGATAGTAATAGAGGTGGAAGAGACAAGGGAGGAGGTGGCGGTGGTGTACACGAAAATGATAATGGAAGTGGTGACTTAAATAGAGATATATAATGATAGTGGAGATAGAAGAGAGAGAGAGACATTGGTTCGGTCCCGTGAAAGAAACAAAACTAGTGAAAAATAATTCTTGAAATAAAAAAAGAACTTTTTGTCGTCTACAAGTTGATTTCTTAACTACAATACAATACTCTCATCTTTTCTTAGGGGATTGGTATTGGTGGGATTGGGAAAAGTCCCTTAACTTTTGTTTTTTTTTTCTTTTTGGTCGGTTAAAACTAAGGGACATCCCTTATTGTCCCTTATCTAAGGGATTTTCCTTCTTTTTTCCCTTCGGTTTCCGTGTTTTTACCTTAAGGGATGTCTTAAGGGACTACCAATACCAATGCCCTTAGGGTTATTTTTGTCCGCCAAAAAACAGCTGACTCAATATTGTGTACCTTCTACCAGAAGTGTATTTAAGTAAGAAAAAAAGTGAGATTGTGTCTCTTAAAGTAACCGTCTCTATTACCAGACTATCATATAAACTACATGAAGTTCAGATTTCCAACATAGTTGTGATTTTAGTTCAAGGGAAATTCAAACCCATATATGCGTGTTGTCACACATTCTCAGGTCTCATCTACCACTAAACCACGACAATGCGGGCAAATGTAACGTTTTGATTATCACTTTTGCTATAAGTTGCTCGAGTGACTTCGACATGATAATGGATAAAAGTTGTGAAGAGTTGATACATTACTGTTGGAGTTGTTAATAGTGTTGGTTTTGACTAATAGGAGATTGTTAAGTCTGAACATGACACGTCCAAAACAGATAGACCTGCTCACTACGCACTCCTAAGATTTTCATTCTACAAACCATAAGCTATATAAGATCCAATGTTTAAACAATGGTAAGCGTCATTAGTCTTTTTAATCCTTACAATGTTTTCTAGGCAGATTTGTTGCATTATTAACACATTAAAACACCTGATAAATAATGATAATGTTTGACTTTAACTCTAGAAGCTAGTGATTTTAATTTGCTAATGCCTAAAAGAGAATCAGACTTTTATTACATGACGACAAAAGCCACACACAGCTCACCTGCCCTCGTGGCCAGTCCCCACTTCCTCCTAATATCTTCACCGTCTTAATAGTAACATTCAAGATTCGTGTCCGAAGCTGTCAAAAATAAAAAATATTGCTATACACAAGGACACGTTTCTTTTTCTTTCTGTTATAGCTTTGTAAAAGCAAGTAGTATTAATCTAATGGTACTTATAAGTAGTTGATATACCATAGAGTATGAGTGATAATCGGTTAGTAATCAAGTGGTACATGTATAATCGAATGATTCTTCTCTTCTAAATTTGTTTTTGGCGACGACAAAATATTTTTGTTTGGTATTTGCATAAACAATAAACAAAGAGGCTGACTTTAGGAACTAGGTGAATGAATAAAACAGTAGTACATTATATTATCCCTTTCTTATTAATGGAGGAACATTTTTAAAAAGAAATCTTCATTGTGTAAGTTATTTACAAGGGTGCCATGCTGAGGTGGCATCACCACAATCACTCTCAGCCTACATATTAAACTACCCATTATTTACTAGACTATTTACATCAATTGCCATTATCATATACAATTATAGTTGGTCTCTCATAAACAATTATATTCGAAGGTTTTATTCTCTACACGATACGATGACGTACTCTA